TTTGCGCCCTGATCTCTGCGAACAGAGAAACCTTTCAGTTTTTGGAGGCATCTCTCACTGCTCCGTGTCGTTATCCGAGCCGTTTGTGCAAGCTTATTGTTGCCGTAAAAGCCAAGGAAGTTTGGATTTGCCGGTGCCCACTGAGCCAGATTTGTGAAGCATAAATGAGAAAACCTGCCCTGGCCTCCCTTTCCCATAAAAAGCTGCTCAGGTGGCTTAGTGTTGCGGGCTAATAGGGAGGAGGAGGAGGCGGCTGCTGCACCTGCTAATGCTTTGGCTCAGGCTGGTGGCACAGAGGCTCCCGCGAATTCCCCCTGAGCAGCAAGCTGTTAGTGGCAGTAATGCCTCGCTCAGAGCCGCGCTCCTGCTACAACAACAAAGAGCCCTTTGATCCTTTCCATTTGGAGAACTTAAAACAAGAAAGCAAAACTACAATAAGACCAAGTTGGGTCATAAAAAAGGAGAGCGGGAGAGAAGGAGCACCACAGCGCTCCGGAGTGTAATTGTAGAAGCAGCAAATGCTTTGGCACTTAATTCTGCTTTAGTGTCAGTTCAACATGTTTCACGTTTAATACTGGGGAGGCCGTCGCCAAATGCTCTGCACAAACAATCCAGTGCTCCTCGTTGGTGAGTTCGTGGCACTCGGAGAGACCCTGGCTCACATGCAGCTCCCTTAACTCCGCGGCCTTCTGCTACATGCGGGGTGAAGCTGGCCCGGGGTGGATAAACAGTTCCGCAGCAGAGAGATCCATTTCTGGACTTCGAGCAGCTGCTGCTGCCTGAGCCCTGCTTGATAAAGAGATTGCCACAGCTCCAGCTCACTGCCACGCCGCTGGGCGCATCCAGAGCCGGTGCCCGGCTGTGAATTCCTGGAGATGCCCCGCTGAAGCCATGGCTGCACGCTGCCTGCCTCGCTGGGTCTGTCCGTGTCTCACCCTCAGGGCTGTGCTCTCTGTCACCTCTTCGCAGGCCTGCCTGATGCTTGAGAGTTTTCTGTGGAGGGTGGATTTTAGGTCAGGCATTTTGGAAGAAGTTTATCTCAAGTCTGGCTAACAGCTCCCGGGTCATCTCACAGGGACTGGGGGTGTGTTTAAAAAAGAAAAATCTTTATTTCTCTGGAAAGAGCTGAGGTCTCAGGAGCTGAGCATTGGTTTTGGTGCAAGACCGAGGCTCGGTCCCGCAGCCCTTTCTGCGAGGCAGCTGTGGGCTGTGTCACGGCCACTGGTCCCGGGGGAGCTGGGGCACAGCACCCGCGTGGGGCTTGTGGTCCTGCTGGGCAGGGATGCTTCCTGCAGGGAGGGGATGCTGTACACACTCTGCTTTCAGTAAAAAAGGAGGAGAAAGGCCTAAGCCATTATGCTGTATTGAGCTTTTCTCTTTAAAACTTCATTTATTCATATAACAGCCTGCAGACTGACCTCCTCCAGGCAGGCAGGTGCCAGCAGGCTGCAGAGGCAAAAGGGACTGAGCACTGCTGGCTGAGCTAGCCCCGCTCCTCAGCCTCAGGAGAGTAAAAGACAGGAACAGCCTCAGTGCTGCTGAGGTCTTTGTTCTCCTGGGGCAGGGTCTCAGCTGGGAGCTCTGCAGGTGGATTCCTCTCCCTGCATTTTGTCTGTCTGCACCCCTCATGCCAGCCCTGCTCCAAGGGGCTGCCAGGGCACTGGGGCTGGGTGCAGGTCCTCCCCCGCTGCTCAGCAGCTCCTGCCCAGCTGCGAGGCTCTCAAGAAGTCCTGTTTATTTTAAAGAATCAGTTCAAAAGATAAAGCTTCATGTTTTGAAGAGTGAGTGCTCTGCAAGGTGCATCCTGACAGCGAAGTATGTATGAAATGCAGCTTGGCAGCATCTCCCTGCTGACGTTGCAAGAGAGGTTGCAGCCCCATATTGGTGGCAAACAACTGCATCGAGAGCCCTCAGAGAAGGGCAAGCTGCCTTGTCACCGGCTGTCTTGGCCTGAAAGCCACTCACACGTGGTGAGAGCTGTCTCCCTTTTCTCTTCCATCCTTCTCTCCCATGGAGGAGAGAAGGACCGAGGCAGCAGTCTCCATGAGTGTTGGGCTGCTGTTTTAACAGGGACATGATGAAATGATTGGCACCCGATAAAAACAAGGTGACAGAAAATATTGGAAACCCTTACAAATTGTTATTTTGCCCTAATAGATTACTGTGGGTCCAGCTCTCCATGGTGTAGGTAACGTGTGTGAGTGATTTATGCTCTATTGGGGATTATAACAGATGCTGTAAAATCATCTTGTAAGTATTTGAAAATCATTTGTCTGTCTCTGACATGTCTTAGCACGTACAGGAATGCTCTGTTTGGGGAAGAGCAAGGTCCTTATCCTGAATTTATCTTGGAGTACTTGTAAATGTTGCTGTAATTTCATGTTATCAAATCATTTAGCTCTTCCTCTTCCAGAACGAAGTTATTTTATCTCGTGTACCTTGTTTACTTCAAATTAGCCCTGAGGTTGGCCTGAAGTTGCACCTTGTTATTCCTACACCTCCTGTCTCCGTCTTAGCCTCTGTCGGCAAATTTGAAGGTATAAGTAAATACTTCTCTGTTATGAATAGAATAACTTCCCCCTCCTACACACACGTTTTCTTTTAATTCCAGTCTTCGTTTTCCATGAGAAACTGACATTGCAGTGCAAGCGGAAACCTCCCAAATTGCATGAAAACGCCTCAATTCTCCTAGCAACAAGGTCAGGGCTCAAAGCCAGGACCTTTCTGCAAGCGCGAGGGAAACAGCCGTTCCAATTACCTGCTGCCCCTGCAGTACAAATTCGGTCGGTTCATCAGCACCTGGTTTTGGGTGGATTTGAAAGCCAGCCATGGTATTGTTTAAAAGTTCTCCATTCATTGGTGAAAGGTTTCTAGTGGGCTGAGCCCTGAGAAACCTGGGGCTGGTTTTATGGCCTCACATTGAAACCTGGTGGAACCCTGTGGTGTCAACTGATTTCCCCCTTCCCCACTCATGTGGCTTTGATCAAACCCAGGGCTCGGAGAATGACCCCCCCAGGAACTGAAACCACAGTGCTTCGCCTAGTTCTGCCATTCATTAATGCATTTGTAACCTTCAGATTGCAGATGATGAAATTAGGACCTTTGTGCCTGGCCCAGGATGGAGTTTGCTGTTGTATGGCACAGTTGGCTCTGTCCCCGTAGGCGTGCAGACCCCCGGGTTAGCTGTTTGATGCTAAAGGAAGTCATCCAGTGCCATTTTTCAAACTTTCTGCCTGTTACCGTCCTGTTCTGTTGTGCAGAACTTGCCGTGATCTCTCCTGCCCTCTTAATGAGACCTACGTGTGGTAACGAACCCCCTCAGACAGGATGGTTCTAGGTTAGCACCACATGTTGCTGCTTGGACTGTTGGTGCTTCTCTCCTGCCCCTGCACACCAGCTCCCCCGGAGTGCACCAAGCTGCTGTGGGTGTGCAGGGCTGCAGGGAGGCTTTCAGGATGCAGCAGCAGCCTGGCCCCACAGAGCTGGCCGTGGGGAAGGGGCTCGTTCCCCCAGCATTGTGCCCACAGCAGCCCCGTGAGGAGGGGCTGGGCACTGTTGCTTCTCTGTTCCCCCAGGGACAGATTGGTCTGGCACTGGGGTGTTTGTGCAGAGAGGGATGAGTTTAATCATAAGCATGGGCCTGCAGAACCCAAAGCCCCTTACTTGACTTTGCTGGGCAGAGTCTGTAAAACACACAGGGCTGATATAATATCCAGGGCTGAAGTGAGCCTGTGTCTACACAATATCTTCTGATGCCTAAAACAAAGCGCTGGTGCAGGAGGCACTCAGTGTGTGATGTGGTCTAGGTGCACACCAGTAAATCAGCAGTTAAAGGACAAAACATGTCTTCTGGCAGAGGACTGCAGGTGAGAAGAATTTCTGCTGTGCATAACAACTTAAACGTGCTGTTGGGTGATGCTGGAACCCCCTCCAGTGCTGTGAGTGCTGTGCAGATTGGAGTCCTGAATCCAACCCGAGACTGATATGTTGTCACACTCCAAATTCAGTTCTGGGACTGGCAGAAAGCCTCCAAGCTGAGGAGAACCCATCTTGCCAAAATCTCAAACCAGTGAGTTGTTTGAGGTCTGGGTGCTGTCCCATCACGGGCCCGTGGCAGTGACGGGGAGGTGTGTTTGCATTAGGCTGCATCTGAATAGTCCTGGCACTGCGGGCGTTTTGCTCCCAGGTGGTCAGGGAACAGCTCTCACACTCAGGAGCATCTGACCTCCAGTGCTGCATTCAGTCCTGGCTCCCTCTGTGAAGAGGAAAGCTATTTAGGGGCATGCTGTGGGGTGGATGTGGTGCCCAGGACACCGCTGTCCCTAAGCTGTCCCCAAGCTTCATTGGCTTTGGGGTGCAGGAGGTGTGTAGGATGCAGACCCATCCTGAAGGGGCTGCTCCAACATGGGAATCCAAGTGGGGTCGGCTCGTTCCAGGAGCCCCATGCGCCATTTATTTGCCTGCTGTCATGCCTGGGAGGCTGGGGGAGTGTTCAAAGCACTCAGAAAGCTTAGAGCAAGGCTTATAATAATTTTAGAGGGATTTAGGTAGTTGTGGACACAGCTTATAAGGTATTTTTGGAAATATATCAAAAGTGAGCAGTAGAAGCAGAAGCACTGTTGTTTGGCCCATGTGAATTTTTTTTTTCTTCCCCTGATCTTGTATGAGGTTTCCCTGGAACAAGTTCAATTCATCCTCCTTGCTAGTGGAATACGCAAAGCGAAATGTCTTGCTTTGCTTGCAGTTGAAGGAGCTGGACTGGATAAATTGTTGTCTTTGAAAAATCTCCCCTCGGACAGAAGTACTTAAGAAAAACACATAATGGGTGATCTTATGTTTTTTAATCATTTCTATTTGAGCTGATGTTTGTTACTGCTCCGATTATCAATGTCGAACCAAAACAACAGTCCAGATGTGATGATTTTATTTATGCCAAATTGGGTTTTGGTCACTGTGCTTGCATTTGGATAATGATTAATGATTTTTTTTTTCTTTTTCAGCCTGATGGCACCAGCAAGGAGTGTGTCTTCATTGAAAAAGTCCTAGAAAACAACTATACGGCACTGATGTCAGCAAAATATTCAGGCTGGTATGTTGGATTCACCAAAAAAGGGAGGCCACGAAAAGGGCCCAAGACCCGGGAGAACCAGCAAGATGTACATTTTATGAAGAGGTACCCAAAGGGGCAAGTGGAGATACAGAAACCTTTCAAGTACACAACAGTCACCAAGAGGACTAAGAGAATACGACCCACCAACCCCAGTTAAAAATAGACAAAACAGTGTCACAATAATAAACCACAAAAAAAAAACTGCACCAGAGGAATATTTTTACATTAAAAATAAGGAAGAAGCTCTATTTTTGTACATTGTGTTTAAAAAAAAATAAAAATAAAAAAAATTAATAAAAGACTAGATGGCAAACGCTGGGGAAAAGCTGTTAGGGATTTATTGTGACTTGAAAAACAAAATGAACTGCTCTATTTAAATTGACTTCTTGTTGTTGATGACACACAGGTGCTTATTTCTCTTTTTGGAAAGGACAACTTTTCAAGCATATCCCCAGAGGAAAAAGTAATTATTAAAAATAAATAAATAAAACCAAAGAAAACCAAAGTTCTTTCCCAAAGTTACTGAGACCCTGCCCTGAAAATTGCCAGTTTTGCAGTAATCTATTTATTGTCTGCTGCAAGCTGGACCGAGACAAGATGGTGTGTGCCGCAGTGACTGAGTTTCCGTGGAGTTCTCGACGCATCGATCTTCTGTAACCTTTCTGACGACATAAGGTGTCACGGCTCCGTGATCCTGCATTATGCTCAGTTCTGGAGAATGCTGCTAAATACATTCAAGTGACTACAAAATGACCTAGTACACCAATGATAAGGGAATATTTTAAAACCAGCTATATTATATATATTATATATATATAAGCTATTTATTTCACCTCTCTGTATATTGCAGTTCCATGAACCAAGTATTACTGCCTCAACAATTAAAAAATTATTTAAAACACATGTATATATTTTTGCTGTTCATGCTTCTTTCCCTTTGCTGAATAGTGTTTTTTTTTTTTTGTTTTTTTGATGAACATTTACCCTTGATGTGAGGGCTATACAGTATGTTTGAGATGGTTTCCCCGCTATAAACATCATTGCTAATTTAATTCTGTGATTTCTCCTTTTCCTCTAGACTGTCTTCTTTCTTCTCCCTCATTTCCAAAAGGGAGAAATCTTATGTGGGGTGATGGGCTGATGTGCTGGAGTTTTTCAAGAGCAAGGCTTAAATTTGATACTTTTCAGTACACCAAATATTTCCTAAAGCTTTGGCCAAGGAGAAGGTAAACTGGAAAATTAGCATATGACTCAATTAACATGTTCTTACGTGTAGCTCGTGTTTCCTTCACAGGAGTTTTTGAGAGGGTCTATTTGTTTCCATGGAGTCGACGTGATTCAGTATTCTTCTATCTTTTAAAACTCTCCCTAGACCTAGCAAAGCCCCAAACAGACCCATTCCCTCCTTGCCCGGTTCCCCCAGCCTCTCGCTGATTTGCTTTCCTCCTCAGCACAGCCAATTTTCCTTGCAAGTGTTTTGCAGAGAATTTGGATGCTGTAAAGCCACGTGTAAACATGAAGCGCTGCTCCCTGTTTGCCAGCAGCATGTACTGACCCACCTGGTGGGGTGGGTGAGACAATATTAAATAGGGACCAGCAAAAAGGTGGAACAATCGACCTTAAATCATTGCCGAAATGACAACCGAGACCCAGTGAAGCTTTAAGGAAAAGCTCGCTTGACTTTCTTCTTGCAGTGTGCGCACGTTGCTGCACTCCCCGGTTCCAGCCAGGGCTCCAACTGCTCAGAGCCACTCAGAAAGCTTTTTCTTGTTAATCAGAGGAACGGCTCTCCCAAGAACAAGCTTTCTCAAGATAGCTTTGAGAGCTGCAGCCAAATCCTGCAGATCAAAGCCGGTTGGGGAGATGGTGCAGATAAGCATGCAAACTTGAGGATGCTTATCTGAGCAAATCTCCAAACCTCGCAAGCCTGGAGAAAAATGAACAATGCTGAGCGGGGTCACTCCAAGCTGCTCAGCGAGAGGCTGGGCAGCCTTACAGGTGATGCCCTACCCGTGTCTGTGGGTAGTGGCTCGGGCAGCCCATTTTCCAGTGGGAGCCACTCCTGACCCACCTGGGGACCAGCACCGAAGTGGGACCTCGCTGTCTGATGGCACGGTGGTGGATATGGTTGGTGGGGGCTGGAAGGCTTTGCCAGCTTTGCCTTCAGATTGATTCACGTGGGAGAGATTTGGGGAGAGTTCAGAGAAGCTCTGGGGGTGGGCGATGGGGAGCGGCTGTACATTTGCTGTGTGAGTTCCTCCAAGAGGAGAAACCCAGTTGCTTTCCAGAGCAAGAAAGGGTTTATGGATGCCTTTCTTCTCCTTGAAATACAGCCATGGCCCATAGCACTGAGGATCGCTGTCAGCACGACAGGGTTTGTTTGCCGTTGGGGAAATCAGAAGGGGTGGAGGCAGTGAGTGATGGAGAAGGGCTGGGCAGGAGTCTCCTGTGAGGCCAAGACCAACTGGGGGAGATCTGCTCCCTGTCCCACAATGCCCACAGGAAGGGGTTTGGAGTCTGGCAAGTGCGAACTAGGGGCTGTGCATTGGCAACAGGGGCCTCTGACAGTTGTGGTTTGCAGAAATAGTTGGTGGATGGCAGTGAGGTGGGCTCCTCAGGCTGTGAAAAGTCACTGTGGTGAGAAGATGGCGTTGCTCCCCTGGATTTGGTGCCTTCAGAGAGCTCTGTTGGCTGAGGATGGTGTGTGCTGCGTATGTGTGTTTGAACATCCGCTCCTCACGCTTCATTAAAACAACAACCACAGAAAGCAGCAGGATAGATGAGATGATTTCATCACCAGGCTGCCTTCAGAGCACCTTCAGGAAGGGCAAATGGGTGCTCGGGAGCAGAGACACTCAAGAAATGAGAAGAAATAGGGGAACTCCACCACATGCCAAGAGCTGGGCAGGCCGATGCTGACGGCCACCGGGCACCTGGTGGTTCTAGGCCTGGGTCATGCCCCATGGTTAGGCCGGAGGTTGCCAGTGGCCACCAGCAGCCCCGCTCTCTGTGGAGAAGAAGCTTTTCTGCGTTTATTTCTTCCTTTCAGAAATTCTTCAGGCTCCCTGGATATGATCTGCGGTTCCCTTTGTAGGCTATTACCTTTCATTTACTTTATAATTGAAAACTGTTAATGAGGATTTAATTACTATTGTGGAAATAACCTCAATAGCAACGGGTGTAGCACTAGGCGATTGCTCGAAGCAACTGATGGCATGAATGTGTGTGGAGCTCTGGGTGGGCACATTTTAAACAAATACACAGCTTAATTGAAGTTCATAATAGCAGATTGTAACTACGGCTCGAGGAATACGGCTAGATGTGTAGCGATGTTTTCCTAGCTGGGATCAGATCGTGGCGTGCTCTGGGAACGCCGTGGTTGGGTTGGTCATGGAGCTGGGTGCAGGTGTTGCAGGGCCCACAGGCATGCCGAAATGTGAGTCTGTCCTAGGGGGGACACTTTGTAGGTCCAGAGAAGAGTTTTTTGTCAATACGTTGAGTGATTGGCACAAACTGGACTGCTGGCTGGGGAGATCTTCTGTGTGGTGGCTCTCCTGGTGGTTCTCCTGTGCTGGTCCCATGACAGTGATGGGTCAGTGGTCCATGCCCAGCTGGGCTCTGAGGCTGTCCTGAGCAGAGCCCAAGCCCCAGGTGAAGCACTGGAGCTCTGCAAAAGTCTGGATCCTGGTCCAGATCTAAACTTTGCACTGGTGTGCTTCCCATAGCACCTCTTGTCTGAGGGGCAATGAGGAGGGAAAGAGTCTGGATAGAAACAGGTCCAGCTGTCATTGGGGCAGATACAACCCAACTAAAGGATCTCGTGAACTGCTGTCTGTGCTGTGCTAAGATCAGCCCTTCCCTTTTCAACCTCGCCTTCCATGGAGCTCTGGGCAGAGAAGGGTGCAGCAAACCTTCACCACAGCTTTGTTGCACCCTGCCTGGGGCTCAGCACCAGCCAAGAGGCCAAGGAGTGTCCGGGTCCCCATGCAAGGTGCCCAGGTGAGCTCGGCTAACCCCAGCAGAAGCTGGTTTGGTGTTTCCTGCTCAACAACGGCATATTTTTGTTCTGCCTTGTTGAACAAACGCAGCTGTCATTGCAGGCTTGGCCCCACCAGGCTGGGCTGTAGAAGATGGTCAATCGATTTGTCTCCCTGGGGAGACTTTGTCCACCAGCAAAGCTCTGACACTGGGTTGGCTCTAGGTGGGATGGGTTGGCTAACACAAAACACATGTGAACTTGGATGGGAGAGCATGCTGCGTGACCATACCTAGCTTTGGAAAATAAGGTTGTGTTATGTGAAGAAGTGCATGTGTGTGGAGCAGTGCTGGTTCTTTAATCTCCAAGGCAGGTACCTGCCTACAAAGAAGGAGGAGGTGTGTGGATGCCAGTGAGACTGTGAACAGTCCCTGCAAACCCTTTGCCTGCCCCGGTCTCCCTCGCTCAGCCCTTGGCAGTGGCAGAAAGGGAAGGACAAAGCCCGGGTGACCCTGGGGAAAAACTTTTCTCCTCCATTCCCTCTCAAGGCATTAAACATTGCAATTTTTGTCTACTCCAAGGGAAAGCAGGTATATTCCTATGCATAATTTCCTGATTTACTGCCAAAGGGTGGAAGTTTACACTTAAGATTCACAACAGCTGTTTAAAGTGCGGCTGTCTCGTGCCAGCCATACCACCTGAATGGCCAAGGGATATATATAAAACTTCAATTATTTTTTGAATGTTTGTTGTTATTCATTTGGAGACGGATGAGAGGAGATTCCTCACGAATGATGTAACCTACGTAGACTCTGTTATTTCCAACGGTGTGAGCTGAAAAATTAGGGAGGAAAAATCAGGTCAAACTGAAACTTTTCTTTTTTAAGTGAGACAAAGTACTGGGTGGAGAGATTTGGGTTTACCAAAAACATTTAATTCAACCTATTTAACAATTTACTTCTTCTCTTAAGTGTAGATGATTTTAAAGGTAAAAAAAGACAGAGACAAATCAGAAACTTCACGTTGAAAACAAAAAACAATATTTGGTGTTGAAAGAAATTTCCCCTGCTTATTTTTCAGTGGAAACTGATTTCAAAATTTCCGAAGAGATTTGAACTCCCCCCTCTAAAATGCTGTTCCTGTGGCAGTTTGTCTCTTCAGCAAATGCCACCCCACTCCAAGCACTGGTGTGCCCTGTGTGAAGATACCCAGAGATATTCCTTGGAGCCTGTGGCCATCCCCACGTCCCCAGCCCTCCTGGTTTAGCCATGCCTTGCTCGTTCCTGCTGTTCCTCCACCACCACCCCCTTGTCTCCAGGACATGAGTCCCAGCTGATGAGGCTTCTCCAGCAATTGTAACCAGAGGAAAAGAGCTCATAGCATGTTTTACTTTACCCCATGGTGTTTTAGCCTCATGTAGGAGGGCACAATACCTGTGTGGGGGTATGGATCCAAAAGGCCATGGACCATGCCAGGCTGGGAGCCCCGTGGCAGAGCACATGGGTGGTGGGGGTCCTGGTGAGACCAAAGGGATGGGGCCAGGGAAAGGCATGAAGACCCCAAGTGCCCCTCTCCTAGCCCAGCATCCCAAACCTGCTCAGCCTGGCTGCATTTGCACCTGCTAGAGCAAGGGAAGTCCTTTTGCTGTCAGAGCAGGCAATTCTGAAACTGCATCCTCAGTAAGCTGGAGGAGCTGTGGGAGTCTTGGGAGAAAGCTGTAATTTGGAGATTTCATCCCAAAACTTTTGAGCTAAGGAATCTGGAGGAACGCAGCTCTATTAGGGTGTTGCTGTCCCTTGTCACCATCAGTAGCTGGGAGAAATCTGCCTTCAGCAACCTTGGCATGGGCGAAGAAGAAAGGGAGAAGGCAATGGCTTTTGGGGCATTTTGTGATGCTTCCCAGCTTGAAGCAAGCCCTGTCCTGGGC